CGATCCCACCATGAATACGGAAATTTGCTCGTTCCTTGTTTTCGTAGCCATGGCTAAGTAGTTGCATTCCAAATCCCGCTGTAACATACCATCGTGCCCAGATGTCCCACCACATACCCATTTGAGATATTCTCCAGTCACTTATTGTCATCTACCTTGTTATTCCCTACATTCTCCTTTCGATGCGGTATGAAGCTAACCAATCCCGCCTGGTTGTTGAATAAATTTAAAGAGGCGGACGATTTCCGCGCAGTACTTTGTATTGTGATTGTGTTGAACGGTAGCAATTGAGATTATTTGCCTTCCTTCTGTGTCTTTCAAAGGTCCGGTTGTTCTGGGACTGAGGTTTGTACATACTGCGCTTGAGTTATAGTTTGTTTACTTGTACCATAAATAACGTCTCGGCTTTGTTTCTTGATTGAACAAAGGGAGTTGTTACGAGGCACTCGCGCCCAAGCGTATCTGTCGCGTACATAAATAGCTTATCGCCGCAGTAGATTATGTAGCCACATTTGCTTACGGTTGAGTAATTAGATCTTGTACAAGCTACCACTTGTAAATTTGCTAAAACAGTTTGCACACTCTTTCGAAAGCCGATGGTGGAACAGGGAGCAGCGGAATTTACTACATGGGTTGGTGATTTGATAAAGTCAAAGGGGCCATCAGATAATGTATGATATTATCTCCTACTAACGCATATAGCAGACAGCATCTGCAATATACAGTAACCATAAGTCATCAGTGTTTTACGGCACATTTATTTGTGTATCATTCTACTTGGTAACCGTATTGATGGCATTTGCTTCCGTATTTCCATATCTGTCTCTATCTATTGTTGATGCCCACACTTCTGACTAAATTTATGACTGCCATTTTTAGGTTGACGCTTAAACGTTAACTAACCAACGATAGACGTATTGGTTGCTTATACTTGCACGTGAGATCTTACAACACTAGTGGTGTATGGCTGTCTTTCTTACATTGAATCCATACCCGCGCACGTTCGTAGTGTTATTGCTCATGACGGTTATTGTTTCTACATCTAGTTTGTGGTAGTCCATACACAAGTGTGAACAAATGCTCGTTCACAACACTGAAGTACTGCAACTCGAACCAGAGACCTTTGGTATGTCAACTGATATCTCATGTTGAATGACTAAGCGGAAGCCATTTAGAAACACTTGTAAACGCCACACTTCAGCCTGACAGACTGATGTCTAACTGGTACTCGCCCAAATTACCAATCCCACTAACATCTGTTCGTGTTTCACTACGTTCCCACTTGACAGATGGGTAGCATTACATTTCTTCTCGTGTGACACTGTGACTTAATACGGGTTGCAATATGGGTCAATGTGTCCCATCTCAAGTACCTCTATACGCCCTCTTCTACTGCTGCCGCCTTCAGGTAAAAGCACTGAGATTCAGACAAGTGATCAAGGTTGATTCCGAAACGGCGGCAACACAATGTGACATCCAGATCGAAATGCCTGGGTACAGGTAGTATTCTAGGCACTGATGAATTGGTCGAGATATGCTAGCGGTCAGAACGAATGACCAAGGGGAAATAAATAGTAACACATGATGGATGGCCTGGTAGTTCTACATCCCTGTTGATTCTCGCTCACCTCGGACAAGAGACGATTATAATGGTCTCTGGTTTACCTTCCGACAAGCATAGCCTGCAGTTAGTAATATAGGAGATGGCATCCACAGCACACACCAACGATAAGTCATCACTGTTCAAGTGTGCTTCTACTTCTTTGTTAAAGTGAGCATAGCTATAATTCCCGTTCGTTCTCTCGCCGCGGACTTCAACTTACCTGAGCTTGTGAATAGCAGTAGACTTAATCGTACCATTTCTCGGCTAACTTGAAAAGTTTCATTGTGTTCTTCCTTATTCTAAATGCCGCATGTAAGTCGCGCTTGGGTACAGCTTCATTCTAGAATGATTAACTACTGACCTGGGACCTGCTGCAATGTAGTATCTTTACTGCACCTGCCTAGAACGGATGAGCCACATCTAAGTTACCATTATTGGGCTTACTTAACTCGGTTGTACATCGATTTGACTTCATGTGTTGCCCATTACATTGTTGAAATCATCATGAAACCTATACTATTCTTGCTATCTTCTCAGGTAGGGTCTAGTATGGTGACATGCCGAGACTGTGAGCTACGGTATCTTCGTATTATTATTCGGCCGCGATTCACAACACTATGTAACCTTCGTAGTATTACTCACTAGACTATTCTATCTGCATTCTGCTCCTTGAAATGGATTTGTAGATTACACGAACCTAGCAAGACCAGCTGCTCAATGCTAACTAGCACAACGCTTAGTGAGCCGGTGCATCGCAGAACAATGGTTGTCCATCCATGAGCTCAGTCGTATTTGACGTGCGCGCGGAGTTTCCGAGTGAATTGTGTGGTTGATACGGATCAATGCTTGCGTGGTAAATTATTGAGTATGTCTCCAGTTCGAATCAAAGGGTACCAGCGCTTGGCTGCTTACAGTATGCATATAGTGTAAAGTCTGTCATTTGGAACACAATGCTTACCAATTGTCATACTTGTGACCACGTTAGACTATGCATTCGAAGAGAAATTTCCCTGGAGATTCTGTGGCAAGTGAACAATCCCGCCAATTAACCGACTAGCGATTATCACGATGTCGACAGTTCATGTTCCACTCCGCAGGTTAGCGCTCAGAGTGAGAATAGTTATATTTCTAGTTGTTCATCAGCCATACAGAATTTATCGGGGCTTATGAAAACGTACGTACTAAGCGGATGGAATGAGAAAGCGCAGAGACGCCTACCAGAAGTTGCACTGCACATAGTCAATCTGTTGGATAGACTAAGTAACATGTTACACTCGGTGAGAATGGTATGTCAGTGTGTTAGTATATTACATCGGAAAGGGATCGACGCAAAGCGACAATCATTTTATGAGCTCCAAATGGCTGCACCCGGAGACGTACGATGCAGATCTTTATCAAATATATTATGGTCATGGCAGAGTATACATCGGTATGTACAAACGGCTGAGTACTTGGACATTTGCAAAACAATGCGAACACTGCTTGGAAAGTCGCATGTTTGACAGTAGGCAGCGGGACTTAGTTGATGTCACCTATCAATATCAAAGGTTGCGCACCAATCGTTCCATGAGAATCTGCACGTACCTCGGGCAGTAGATGACCGGACCGATGGGCAACACGGAGCGCCAGAAGTGGACACTCTATCGCATTCACATACTGTGCGATCTCCCTCAGCAGTTACGCATAACAGACTGTACATATAGACGGCAACACCTAAGTGCACACTATTTTTAAAGCTGAATTTATGAAGCACGCTGTGTGGTTGGGTTGCGACTCGCAACCTCTATTGAGACCTCGGTTCACTTTGAGGTAAACCTCGGTGATTCCGATCTCGAGGACGGTATCCTGAATGGAAATATTTGGGTGTTGCTCTTCCCAGCACTGGCACACCACGACCGCCGTTTCGTCCTAGCTTGGACTCGTCAGGTGGAGATAGCCTGAGCTAGGGTGGAACTCAGAGATTAGTAATTCACGGCTGACGCCCTGAACACTACGCTACTGAGATCCGTGGTCAACGCTTGGCACAGCGGAAAGTAATTTACGACTGAATTTGTGAAGCACGCTGTGTGCACACTATTTCACTATACCACTAGTTTTTTATAATTCTACCTAGCAGTTGCTTCACTGGTTTCTTCGGGTTTCTTCACATATGGATGCCTAAGATTTAAGGCTATCACGTCAAAAAGTTGAAGAAAACATCAACATCTCATTCCTGAGTCGCCTGTTATCAGGAGGATACTTATGCTTCTGGAGGATCGGAATGCCAATTCGTCGGACGTTAGTCTGAGCCCAGAGCCGCAATTTGCATTATAAGGACATGCACTCCGTTGCTTGCATCTGGTACACTCTTACATCTCGTTGCGCCACCACATGAAATTACGGGCGGTTTTTTATTACACAATGATGACTACTCATAGACGACACTCCGACGGTGTGGGAGGAAATGTGCATTTATCTAACAGCCGCTGTCCTATAGCTATGGAAGGAAAGTTTGGTAATCCCAAAGTCTATGAATAGTCACATAAATTAACCAATGAAAGAAGGATAATCAGGAAAAAGCGAATTCATTGAGGCGAAACTGGGGACGGCAAAGTGGACCTGGGGCAGATCACCCTATGGTGGGTGGCGATAAGAACACAGTGGCAGTCCTAGGCTATGTGAAGCGGTAAAACGCATAGAGCTCTCGGCAATATACACGCCGAAGGACAAAGAAAAGAGGTTGTGATGGGTATTCAATCGTAGTGAGCATGTGTATGCAAGGAACGAAACAGACAACCAAGAAGTAGGAAATCTGAAGAATTAGTTAATTGGGAGTAACATGCGTGTTTGTCGGTCCACCTGACCACTGATTGGCTGACGCTTCTTGGATCAAAGAAAAACCATAATTTCTTGTCTACGGATGTGGTTAAGCAACATATATCGAGGCGTTCTGTGGGCTAAACCTGATTTTATTTTGGCTAATTTCACTCTGCTGTAATCATAGTGGAACCCGGTGAATGCCATCCGTATCAACCGCTGACCCTTCAACATAGCTAAGCCATTTTTCATTTTGTTCTTCGGCTTCAACATTCTTTGTTTGACAATTGTTCGCTTGTGTATTTACATTACGATGCGCATGGAAACCATTTCCTTCCTTCCTTGACACGCTGTTCTCCAATGGCAGGCACATCTAGAACCCCGTATAGTGGCAAAAATAGGATTGTTTGTATAGAAGCAGTGGCAGTTTATGTGGCGATATTAGGGCAACTTTTGTCCTGGTAAAGTTCAATGAAACATGAAGCAGAACAGAGTTACAAACGAACTTCCGTCGCATCATTTGTTGAAAAGCGATGCAAAGGGATAACTTCACACTGCTACCTCCTTCGTAGTACCATTTCAAAGTCTTCTCAAAAACTGGTCAAGCCACACTGATCTCTGTACCGCGAACAGTTTGTGCCCATAATTTCTTGTGGTGAGAAAGCGACATCTGAAAAGTTCAATCAAAATTTGTCGTTCAGAGGACATTAACTCAATTTCTGTTCAGATCAGTAAACATAAAGATGCTAGTTGCGTTTAATCGCCGGTGCCTTTGTAGTTCACTTCCATCTGGTGGAGGTACCACATGAGCAATGATCCTTTTCACTACCTTTTTGGCGCCGGAAAGTCAGGTGAACCGCTCATGCACCGGCCTTTGATAGCTAGGTCATGTGCTGCGTGTTCCTTGTTAGCGCGTGTCGGGTTCGGATGGAAGGGCACGGGGGGCCAACCTATGAATCGTTAAGAAGAATGAAAGCACTCATTTCGAATATATTCTTGGTTGGTATCTTTAGACGCCTGAGTTGGAGTCCGAAAGTCGAACATCATCTTCATATGCAATATCGTGGAACATATTTGGAACCGATCTGGAAGTCATCATTTCAAAAAACTTGGTAGACGGCCGGTTAACATATTTATTATGCTATGTAACTCTCTCCCTGAAGGGTAGAGTGTACAATGCAGTGGTTGTGAAACCTGGCGCCTAAGATCTGCGGATATAAAGAGGCTAGTTACATTCGACCACCGGTGCCTCCGCAGTTTGGTTCACATCTGGTGGGAACACCACGTGAGCAAAGAGCGTGTTCGACGCCTTACTTTTGGCACAGGTAAAGAAAATGAACCGCTCAACACCGTTATTTCACACACCAGGCTCCGATGGCTCGGCCACGTGTTACGCATGCCAGCCCACCGACTCCCGCGATGTGCGTTGTTAGCGTGCCGGAGTGTGGATGTAAGAAGAGGAGAGGCGGCTAAGTGGTGACTTAGTCAAGAGGAATGCAGACCCTCACTTCGAAAATCGCCTCGCTTGGAGCGTCTCGACTCCTTGGTTGGGGTCCGAAAGACGATGAACACGTTTGGCTGGATACACTTGCTGACATGGCTAGGAGCCGACCTCAATGACATCTGTGTTGTGAGTTTCTTTGTCCCTCCCCAGCCCTCTTAGCCCCCACCTCCAACAAAGATCTTATTTCTTAGCATAACATATATTTGCATAATAAATACTTACTTTTTTGTCGCGTAGTTGCTGGCTGGTAGCTTCCCGAAACGAGGCCCATTCGTTACTGGCACCTCAGCTGGCATGCACCTGTTGCATATTTTTACTTTTATGTATTGCGACCCGTTAGCTGAGATGTTTTCCACCTCTAGCTAACGTGCATAATGAATGAATGAATGCTATGTAGCCTAATAAATATATTAACCGGTCGTCTACCAGGCTTTCTGAAATCATCATCATCATTACACATTAGCTGAATGTGAGGAACACACTTTCACTATTGTGCCGCAATACAAAATAAAAGATATATACAAAGCAGATACCAAAACTTATAGAACACAAAAACTGGTAACATATTACTCAGTAACGCAGTAAACTTCAAGTTACAGATCGTGCTTAGATGGGGAAGATAGGCGAGATAAGGAGGGACAAAGTAGCTCACAACCCAAACGCTATTGAGGTCGGCTGTTTGGCTTGTCAACAAGTGTATCCAACCAAACGTGTTCATCGGAAGAAACCAACCGGCACCAACTTCGAAGCGAGGGACTTCATACATCTTGACCAAGTCGTCGCTTGGTCTCCACTCTTTTTCCATCCACATCCCCGGTAAGCAAACAACGCACGACGCACGAGTCGAACATGCCTGAGTGGATACAGCTGTTAACATGGCAAAGAGCTTACTTAATACTTTTACGTTGTGAGTTTCCTTGTCCCTCCCCGTTCATCTCAGCCCCCTTACCAGCCACCATGTCACCATGTCATCATATTATTTGTCTGTTTTGCTTTGACGGTTCAATTTTTCCTCTTTTCCTCATCTAATTTTATTGCACTGCGGCACAACAGCTGCCTCCGATCTCTCCCTCATTTATTAACTAGGGATGTTATGAATGTACTTATGGCTGAATATTTCGTACATATTAGGGCATCATTTTACTCGGACTGTTTAATATGTTACTTGTTTATGCCTATGTGTCTTGAAGGATGTTTGTGAGTAGCGTAAGGTTGGTGGAAAGTAAAGTCACGATTAAACTCCACACAATAATCTGCCTCGACGGGGAATCGAACCCCGGTCCCACGAATTTCCGGTCCGCTGCTCTACCACTGAGCTACCGAGGGCTGACGATTAGGTGCGCAATTTAATACATGACTTCTGCTTGGTGCGCGACGTGTGAGCTCATTGGCAATACGTTGCGCACCAAGCAGAAGTCGTGTATTAAATTGCGCACCTAATCGTCAGCCCTCGGTAGCTCAGTGGTAGAGCAGCGGACCGGAAATTCGTGGGACCGGGGTTCGATTCCCCGTCGAGGCAGATTATTGTGTGGAGTTTAATCGTGGATTCTACTTTCTACGAACCTTACGCCACTCACAATCATCCTTCAAGTAACCTACCATCGTCCTTTGGACATCAGGACAGTTACTTCGGTCCATGGAGATGTGACGAGTGAGTGAGCCAATTTGCAACACCAGGACAGTTACTGTGAGCTCATTGGCAATACGTCGCGCACCAAGCAGAAGTCATGTATTAAATTGCGCACCTAATCGTCAGCCCTCGGTAGCTCAGTGGTAGAGCAGCGGACCGGAAATTCGCGGGACCGGGGTTCGATTCCCCGTAGATTCGGATTATTGTGCGGAGTTTAATCGTGACTTCTACTTTCTACTAGCCTATGTGTCTGTTTTGATGCGGCAGCTTGTCAACTCATACAATCTTACTACCGTTCTTTGTTATTGGCCTCAGTTCTATTTAACGAGCTTCATTCAAGCTTCACCAGATCATATAAGCACGAGACCAATGAGACGTAAGTACAAAATATGGTGCCAGGTTTAAGTGGTGGGTTGTTGAATGCATGAATTTATCAACACGAACCTGATTCAGCGGCTTTACCAAACGCTTTATAAGTAGTGCCGTGTGAGCTACATTTAGCTCGCACTTCCTATTAGCTTCAGATTTTTCAGCTGTCATAACTTGGCCTTTCGAGAATAACTTTTCTTTGTCTGCGCCAGTGGCATGGGGTCTCTAGTGCAAACTTAAGAGACCTACGGATGGTAACCGATGTAGCCATCATCTAGCGAAACACGCGTAGCCCAAGTCCCTTAGAACACTTGATGATAGCCTCACAAACTGGAAAAATGCATCTACAGTTCGCTAGTGCCTGCATCTGATGCTTTGCAGCTATGCGGCCACCAACCGTTGCGTGCGACCTGGGGATGCTACGAAGTCGATCGCGTCTGTGCACTTCGCCTCTGGCTTCATACTATCTCCGTCAAGTACCATCGAGTTGGTGGGGAGACGGCTGTTTGATAACATCAGTCTCGAAGACAAGTCGTCCTACAAGATGTATCCCGGAATCTTTGTGCTCCGTGTATAGCTCAAAGACTTTGGATTTCTATGGGTGGGTTGGAGTCAACTTAACGAATACCAGTTTCGTTCTGTACTATCTTATCAAATGGGAACTTTAGGACCTACTACATCGGTGATCATAGGCTCTTCTGGGAATGTGGAAGTCGCAAACGGCAGCGTTTCTCTTGAGTTCCACTTTTCGCATTTCTAACTGCCGACGTAAATCCTATGTTACCTTGTTCGCCGTCGAATTTTGTAAGACTATTTCCATCTGCTCTCAAGTTACGCACATTTTCGTTGAAAATTTCCATCATATCTAGACACATCTCACCTCGGTGCTATGACAGCTTTAAATGGTTGTATGACCTATTTCGGGTCCCGGTTAACAGGATACACGCCCCATGCGAATACTTGATAAGAACATCCCCGGATCAGCAGTTTGCATCAACCTGAAACGTACCATCTTTAGAGGGTTAGTGAACACGTCAACAGTTTGCACTACTGATTGTGCTCTAAGTCGGTCAGCCGATTCTTACTATTCTGAATTGAGTTGGCGATCGATCGAGTACGGGGTTTAACGAGAAGTGCATTGGAATAATATGTCCCTACTTTTATAGTTACGCGCAACCTTTAGATTATCTTAAGGTTCAGCCGACTCCGAAGCCTTTGCAAGGGCAACAGTGGTTCCTTCCAAGTGCAACAGTCCGTATGAATTCACATGACTATGGGCTTGGTCACTACTCTGCGTGCAATCACTCTCCTCTCAGTTTTATCCAAAGTAATGGAGCGTATAATTGCAGAGGCGCTCATGTGATATATTGAGAACAACAACATCCTACTGTCACAGCAACACGGATTCCTCCGAAATCGATCCTGCACTACAAACTTGCTGCTAGCTCGAGCAAGCTGGACAGAGTCAGCCGATGCCAGAGTGGGAGTCGACGTTGTCTACCTGGACTTCTCGAAAGCGTTCGATCGTTTGGACCACCGCATTCTCCTTCACAAGCTACGAAGCTAACGAATCGGTGACCCTATACTCGGTTGGATCGGCAACTTCCTCGCACAACGTCAGCTGTATGCGCGAGTCCGCAGCTCCATTTCCGACCCAATTGACGTCCAGTGTGGCGTGCTCCAAGGATCGGTACTGGGGCCACGTTTATTCCTAACATTCATTAACGATCTTTCCAGTATACTACAGTCAAATATCTTACTAGTTGCAGATGATGTCAAAATTTGGTATGATATCAGGACATCGGATGATCACATGGCATTGCAGAGCGATTTCGACAGGGCTTATGCGTGGTCATCCGATAACCGGCTCTAGTTCAACGTGACCAAGTGCAAAGTCGTAAGCATACGCCATCAGCCTATTTATGAATATCGAATTGGGGACCAGCAGTTACAACGTGCTTCCTAAGAAAACGACCTCGGGGTGATCGAGCAGCACGATCTTGGTTCCCCGAGACAGGCTGAAAAGGCATCGGAAGAGCCAGTTAAGATTTTGGACCCTTACGGAGGGCTTTCGGGAATTTTGAGCCATCAATCTTTCTGCAAATGCTGAACGTCTACGTGAGGCCTCACGTGGAATATGCGATCCAGATCTCGCGTCACTGGCACA